TACATATATAGTGTATAGAAAAATAGGGAGTTAAACATGACAGTGGTTCAGTAAATACTAAATGCAATTGATTGTGTAATGCTTGGTACATGATAATTATTCAATAATGAGAATTATCATTCAGATCCCATTACCTACTTAACAAGTAGGGTCTGGTCCCTGTAATCCCAGCACTGAGCGGGGTGAAGACAGGAGGATTGTGGAATTTGCTGGCAGGGAGAGACTCTGCCTCAAAGGATTAAAGTACAGAGTTAGAGCGGACACCAGAGCCTGCCTCTGGCCTCCACATGCACACATGTGCACCCCTCGAAGATAGGTACACATAGACAACATACATCCTCCTCCACACACACATAAATAAATAAATAAATAAATAAAAAATAAAATAAAACTAGGTCAGTGAGATGGCTGAGTGAGTTAACAGCACTTGCTGACAAGCCTCATGACCTGAGCTGGATCCCTGGGATCCATATCATGGAAGGAGAGAACTGACTCCTGGAAAGTTGTCCTTTGACCTCCACTCACAAGCTGAGACATATGTCTATTCCCCTACCCTACAAAATCACACATCACATATCACACCCAGAAAGAGAAAGAGAGAAATAATAAATAAATAAATAAATAAATAAATAAATAAATAAATAAATAAATGTATTTTTTAAAGCCTAAGATAAGCCAGGATAGCACAGGCCTACAAACCTAACACTTGGGAGGTGGATGCAGGAGAATTAGGAGTTCAAGATCAATGTCGGCTATATAGCAAATTTGAGACCAGCCTGGGTTACATGAGACCCTGTCTCAAAAAAAAAAAAAAACAAACAAAACAAAACCAAAAGCCAAGAGAGAGGTGGTACCAGAGTCAGGATTATGAAGGTGACTGTCTTTGCCACATCTTGTGGCTCTGGAAGATCTTTGGCAACTACAGCCTGCTTGGGGCTGTTTTTCACTTCTGCACTGTATCTCCTGAACAGTCTGCCTGGGGCTGTTTTACATTTTCTGTTTGTTTATTCAATTGTTTCTTTTTAAACAATTGATTAATCAATTCATTAAAATAGCTATTTGGTTTTTGAGACAGGCTCTCATGTAGCCCAGGCTGGTCTCAACTCCCTGTGTAGCCTAGGATCACTTAGAACTCCTGCTCCTCTTCCCAGAGTGCTGGGATGGCAGGTGTGCATCACCACACCCACTTTATCTGGTGCTGGAGATCCAACCCAGGACTTCTGGAATGTCAGGTGAGCACTCTACCAACTAAGTTAATTTCCAAGTCTCTTATAGTAAATTTTTAATAAGTAGGAGTATATGGGCGTGCGGGGATCTCGGGGCGCCAGCTGCTAGCGTGGCGGTGGTCTCCTGCGCACCTGGGAAGCGGTGGGTCCCACGGCTCGTCTGCTCCTCGTTGCTGGCGGGTCCCTGCTTCTCTGGTCTCTGTGGGTCTCTGCTACCGGGGCTGGCCCGGTCGAGTTCCGCCCCAATTTCACTCGTGCACTCTCTCTCTGAGTTCAGGACCCGCTGCCGGGTCACGAGGAGAGGTGCCCGATGGCTAAAGCTGGATTTCAGTGAGTCGATGACCGAAGTATAGCGCCCCGGGGGGAGGCTGGATGTAGGCAGTAAGACACAGAACTCAGCTCAGTCAGTGGTACAGCCCCTTTATTCAGTGACTCAGCTCGGCTCCAAGTCTCAGTGATCCAGCTCCGATTAATTGGGGGAAACCAGGATATTTTATACTGTGGGGGTAGTGGTAAAAGCCTTAGCTGATAGGTACTTTTAGGATGCCTCATTTACATAGGGCAGTGGGCTTCTATCAGGCTATCAGACAATGCCTGATTAAAACCTGGTAGCTCCTGTGCGGGAGGGCATGTATCTTGTGACGGGCATTTCAAAAGTAAGTCAGGGAGGAGAGCAGAAGGCGCCCTGCTGAGAAGAGGAGTCTCCCCAATCGCGCCAAGCCAGCTTGTGGCTATCTGGACATGGGGAGACTGCTACCCTAAACAGCAGGGGTCCCCAACAGGAGTACACTCCAAAATATCAGTAAAAACACCGTGTGGTAAATACTTAAAGCCGTGGCATGGTTGGTTATTCTCACCACGAAAGGCTAAGAGCTGTTCTTAATTGTGTGTGCTGGACTTTCATAGGGCTGTGGGGCCAGCATCTCCTCACACAGGTGAGGACCCACTGTCTTACGTTGCTCAGCCCCAACAGCTAAGCATCCCTAAGCAATAGTTTTTTTCCACTCTCCCATAATCTTAAGGAATTGCTGTTGCATATCTGGTTGTGTGTATGGCTATAGGACAAAAGTTGGGACAGCTGGATGTGGTGTCCATGCCTTTAATCCCAGCACTAGGGAACTAGGGAGGGGGCAGAGAGATCCAGGCCAGCCTGTCTACATAGTGAGTTCCAGGACTGCTGCTGCTGGATTTTTTTTTTTTTTTTTTTTTTTTTTTTTTTTTGAGACAAGGTCTCCCTGTAGCTCCAGCTGTCCTGGAACTCACTGGGTAGACCAGGCTGGCCTTGAACTCACAGAGATCCACCTGCCTCAGCCTCCCAAGTGCTGGGATAAAAGGTGTGTGCCACCACACCCGGCTGCTTTCTAAGTTTAGGTAAATACTTATCTGTTTATTCGTTTGGGGACATTTATCAGAATCAGACTCTGCAGTGTGGAGGCCTCTTAGGAGTTAGTCTGCCAGCAAACAAAGAGAAAGAAATTCCATGTGTTTCCCAAAGTCTGGGCTCAAAACGTATTTATGTGAGAAAATTAATTTGTATATATTGAATTTTCCTGGAAGCATTTACATTTGGAAAGAGGTTTTATTTCTTTTGATCTGAAAAGAACAGCTCTAATGGTGGAATTTTAGAAAGTGTGATGTATCAAGGGAGCAGGTATGTCCAGGCAGGGATGCCTTTTCAGACACAGAGGCAGCAAAGACCTCAAAGGGTGGGCCTCTGTGCTAAATGTATCTATTCTTCATCCTGAACTAAAATGGGGGACGGGGCCCCTGGGGAGGGGAATCCCTCTTGACAGGACTGAACTTTACACAATTTTGATAACAGCAGAAGGAATGTGACCCAAGGACACTTGCCTCATGACCATCTGCGTGGTTGAACTGGTGTTCCCAGGTGTGTCCTGGGTTGCCATGCCACCTTGCACGTCAGTCTGCACCTACACTGCTGTGTTCAGAGAAACCCTCTCCTCTTCCTGGTGTCCTTTGCTCTGGGCTCAGCTTTTCCACCATGACTGCTTTTCTTTCCTTTTTGTGTGTGCACACATGTGGGGTGTATGTGTGTGTGCAGGTATGCTCGTGCACGTGTAGGTGTGTGGAGGTTGGAAGACAACATCAGGTGTCATTCCTCAGGCACCTTCAACTTTTTGTTTGAGACAGGGTCTCTCACTGGTCTGGGACTTAGCCCACTGACACCCTAAGCTCCCGGGGTCTACCTGTCTTCACATTCTGTCTTGTCCCTCCTGGGATGACATAGGCTTGCCACTGCACCTGGCTTTTTATTTGGGTTCTTGGGATTGAGCTCAGGTTTTCACCTTTAAAAGCATCTCACTGGTCCTAGGAGCTCCTCACAAGGTGAGCAAGAAAGATAATGCAGGATCTCAGATGTCCAAGTGCCTGCTATTTCCTAACAGTGGACATGCACGTCTGTCTTCTTCCTGAGCCTCAGTTTCCCATCGGTTCCCTGGTCTTCCTTGCATTTTGCCTAGAAGTGGCGTTCTCCATGGGATAAAGTCCCCAGCTGTGGGAAGACTTCTGGGGTAGAGGGATGGGTGTTGGATTTTGATCTCGGGATGATTCATCTGGTCTGACTGGGATGTGCCTTTCCGAAAGTGGGCATGATAACGTGTTCTCCTACTCCACCCTTACCTCCCAATTTATGAGGCTGATGGGAACACTGATTAGTCTGTAAGCAGTTGTGATTTCCCTTAAAGATAATCATCTGGTGGCAGTGGCAAGGATGGATGAAGTTTATATAACTGAAGACTGAGCTACAAAGTCCTAACCTGGAACTGAGGACTCCGTTATATCCAGATGTAGTCAGGCGTAGGGTAAAAGTACGGAGGTCAGTCTTGGAGAACCAAGAGTCCTTGAATTACTATTTGTGTCTGAGTCATGTGATAGGACAAATGATTCTCAAGTCCTTGGCTTTTGTTTAAAACGCCTTTAATCCCAGCACTTTCGAGGCAGTGGATCTCTATGAGTTCGAGGCCAGCCTGGTCTCCATAGCAAGTTCCAGGCCAGCTGGGGCTACAAGGAGACCCTGTCTCAAAAAGATTAAAAAAAAGTGTGTGTGTGCTCATAAACACACATGTCTTCACAAACATGAAAACCTGAACCATTCCTGAAGAGCCTAAATAGAAAGCAATCCATACTTGGACCCCCTAATGGCAAAACCACTCTGGTGACTTTTTTTTAGTTATTTATTATTTTATGTGTATGAGTGTTTTGCTTGCATGTATATAAGTGCACCTGTGTTGTGCAAAGCCTTTGAAGGACAGAAAAGGGAAGTTGGATCCCTAGGATCTGGAGTTATGGTGGTTGTTAGCCACCATGTGGGTGTTGGGAATCAAACCCGGGTCCTCAGCAAGAGCAGCCAGTGCTCTTAACTGCTGAGCCATCTCTCTGGTGATTTCTATTCTTTGGGACATCCTTCCACAATCCCCATCCTAGCTAAATGTTATTCCCAATGCACATTTTGTTTCACATATAACAAATATCAGAATATTCCCTCTCCACCCTCCTCCCAGTCTTGAGTTAGGAAGCCCAGCTCTCGGTTCCCATGGCGTCCTGGACTTACTTGGCTTTCCCCTCTCACTACACTTGCATTGACCTCTTTATGTGTCCTTTTCTCCACCAAGCACGAGCTCCAGGAGAGAAGGGGTGAGTCTGTACAGCTCACTGTGATTTCCCAGCACCCCGGCACTGAGCCCAGCTTACAGCAAAGTACTGAGCAATGTTTGTGACAGGATTAGAGTTACTGAGATTCTTGGAGTCTCACTTTTCTCATTGACACAGTGGAGATAACACGGACAATCTCACGTGACTCTCTATGGTTGTGAGACTCAAATGAGATGAAGTTTGTGTATCAGATATGTCATATCACACAGTAACGTTTACTACAGAATGTTCACTTTGTCTTTATAAGAGTGCATTCCAAAGTTCCTTGATGGACACTTGAAACTGAAACTGCAGGTGGTACTAGATGTGTGTGTGTGTGTGTGTGTGTGTATGAAACTTTCCTATACACAAAACCTATGGTAAACTTTATAAAGTAATCACAGTAGAGATGAATAATAATGATAATTAAAAATAGAATAATTATAACAACATACTGTAATAAAAGCTATGTGAATTTTGTTTCTTACTACAGGGACTGGAGAGATGACTTAGTGGTTAAGAGCACTGGCTACTCTTACAGAGGACCCAGGTTCAATTTCCAGCACCTATATGGTAGCTAACAACCATCAGTAACTCCAGTTCCAGGGGATCTGATGCCCTCTTCTGACCTCTTTGGGCATTGCATGACACGAGTGTACTTACATACATGCAGGCAATACATTAATACACATAAAGTAAAAATAATAAAATATTTTTAAAAATTAAAATAAAAAGGCACTGTTCTCACTCTCCTCCTTTTTTTTTTTGTCAGCACCAGGAATTGAAATTAGGGCCTCGCACACACCGGGCACATGTTCCACCACTGAGTTGTGTGCACAGCCATGCTTGTAATAATGTGAGGTGACACAGTGCCTACATGAAGTGATGAAAGGATCTCATGTGGACACTGGAACGTCATGCTGGGATCCTCCCTAAGGCTTAGTACAAGTACCTGGATACCATAGAAGTCGATCTGCTAATCCAGATTGCAATGAACGGGCGAGCAGCACGTACAGAGTGAGTGGACGCACCAAGGGTTCACATCCCAGATGGGGCAGAATGAAACAGTGTTAGAAGATCTTACCATGCTACTCAGAATAGTGTGCAACTGAAAACTGACGAGCTGTTTAATTCTGAAATTTTCCATGTAATAGTTTTGGAGTATAGTTGACTATGGCAACTGAGCTGGCAGAAAGTAAAAGTGAATGTGTGTGTTTGACTTACAAAAGGGGTCATAACTCTTTACTATAGGACTATCAGTTGTGCCAGCACTGACAGTGGCAGTTATGTGGGCTAAAGGAAAGCGTATCTGTCCAATCCCTGTGATGGGGCCACTTACTATGCTAGGAGATCTGTATCTTTATCTCAGTCTCAAATGGATGAAAGCATGAAGCCTATCTGGTCATCCTTGGTGTCCATGAAGGGAACCGGTTCCAGGATTCCCCTGCAGACACCAAAAGCTGTGCACACCAAGCCCCATACATGAAGCTGCATTGTACTATGTAGAACTTGCATGCTTCTGCCTGCATACTTTATATAGTTTAAAGATTTTATTTTCTTATTACTAATTACATGTATGTTTGTGTGTCTG